CATTCGACATTCAATAATCATCTACCATTCTGTACCGAACTCTTTACTCCAGCTGAAGGCCATTTGTTTAAAAGGGTCCTTTTTATTTAAATTTGTATTAAATATGCAGATTTAAAATCAATCGTCATTCTTTTTATGCAACTACATCTGCATATCGAAATATTTAAATTTGGTAAGCTTAAGTTTAAGAATAGAAGAAACAATAAATTCAAATAATACTGGAAGGCATTCCAAGATATTTAATAAATGCGTCCAGTTATTACATCAATGCAACAATATAACAATTTAATGACTATTTCAATGGCTTTGTTAGACTTGCTGTGGAATTTCAAATTATTCGCACCAATACTTATTTTGTAAGGAAATGAGAACTCTTTTTCGATTTTAGAAGTAAAATATGTGTTATCTCTGATCCTCCATTACCAAGCAGATCAAATACACTCCAATTACCTTGAAGTAAAATGATATAATATGTTTTATAAATATATCGAACACTTAGAAATGATCGATATAACGATTACTTAGCGGACCGACCAGACATTAAGAAATACTCAAAAATGTAATTTATTTTCAGGTAAAACGTACCTTACAAGTATGTCTGACAGGACGACCTTCAGCTTCCAATTTCTGGGCCGACAGGCCTACATGTGGTACATGATTATAGTCGAAAATGTTATTTTCATTTACAACAAGATGAACGCAAATAAATACAAACAACATTTTCGTTTTCAATACCGCCAGCAATTTTTGCCATTTTCCTTTTCGGCAAATTGTGTAAACAATGGCGGAGGCACATGCATGTAAAATAACAATTGTACATCAAAAAAAAAAAGAGGCAAGAAAAACGACCGCGAGACAAACCAATTATTTTTCTAGAGATACGTACATATGTATGTATGGTATGTACGAGTATGTGTGTTTGAAAAGTGCACAGGGCGATGAAAATAACAACAACAATAAAAAGTATTACCTTGAGGTATTGCATTCGTAGACCGGAATTAAAACTAATCGCTGCGGAGATTTCAAACTAGACAGATAGACAGACACACGGACAGACACATTTCACATATTTCGTAAACAAACCTCCAAAATTAACACAAAACAAATCATCTACACCAACAACAACAACAACAATTATAATAATAACTTCGAAAGCTGGGCAGTGGGAGCGCGACTTTTGTAATGTTGACCGACCTCGGCGTCTTATCAGCGGGACTTTATCAAATCATGTGCTCAAATGAGTCGCATTTTATTGATGCCGCTTCTCAAGCCTACCTATACAACCATACACACATACATACATATGCACTAAGCACATAGCTATATACATATATATACAAGTATATGTACATATATACATACATGCATGAATGATAACGATATTCTAAATAAAGTGCGCCACACTTAAAGCGCAGCGTTAGACCCTGTACATACAAGTATGTATGTACACATATACATACTTGTATAGGTATTGGATGTATGGGATGTATTGTGTATAAGGGGCCAGCGTACATACAAAAGTTTATTGCCGGCAAAAGTTCAGCATCTCAAATTAATTAGATTATGGGAATGACGTGCGTCAGAGCTGGCGAACACAGCTGGCAAAAACAAACGAAAACTAGCGAATAAATTGAATACGGGTGTTCTCAATGTTATCTACGATTTGCAGCGGAAGCCTGCCTAGCATAGTGTACTAGTTGAGAATATACTTGAGAGTTTTCCAAAATGTTTAGAGCAAGCACTGCCGTAGAGGCAATAAATATTATATCTATCGATCTTTATCATCTTAGTCAAATTTCTTTTTGATTATAATGCAACGTCAAAAAAAAAAAAACAATCTCAACAAAGGATACTAAACGAGTAAACTTATTTTATAGTAGGATAGATTTAATGAGCCCCATCTACTAAATTTGTACAGAAATGCTAACCAATATCTACTTCCAATATTTCAAAATACTATAAAGTCAAGAAATATAAATAAAATACTAACAAGTAAAAAAGCTAAAGTCGGGTGTCCCGACTTTGAAATACTCTGTACATATGTTTACAATAATTATAGAAAATAAAAAAAAATATATATAAAAAAAAAATTGGATCGATTTTACCTCTCTCGGTATTCGAACTCACGTAAAGGGTGTATAATTGCACATTTACATAGCAATTGCGTCTGTGTGAGTGTATGTATGCCTATGCGCATCTATTCGTGTCTGTGTAAGCATTTTCGCAGTCAACCAAACAGCAACATCAACAACAGCCGCGGGCAGCGCTTGAGCAGCGCTGCAGCAGCAAATATATTTATGGCTATAAATTCTTGGTAAATCGGTCTATCATAGTGAAACTTGGCATACGGACACATAATTACTAACTGGGGGTATATGCAAAATTTTAGTTCGAAATTCCAAGAATTACGGGAGTTACGATTTGCGGGGGAGAGGGGGGAGGGAGGGGAATTCCAAAATATACATTTTCTGCGTATTCACACAAGGCATCTTGGACTAAAATTTGGTGTTCCTAGGTCTTATAGTCTCCGAGATATAGGCGATTATACGAATGGAAAATCGGGAAAACCCCCATAGGGGGGAAGTGCGGGGGAAAATCAAAAAAATAAAACAAACTCGTATAGAATACACACATAACGCATCTTTGTGGAAAATTTGGTGTCTCTATCTCTTATAGTCTCTGAGATCCAGGTGTTCATACGGACGGACAGACGGACAGACAGACAGACAGGGCTAGATCGACTCGTCTTGTCACGCTGATCAATAATATATATACTTTGTGGGGTCTGCCACGCCTCCTTCTGCCTGTTACATTTTTCAGCTCCCGCAAACCTAATATACTCTTGTACATTTCATGTACAGAGTATAAAAAGTATATCAGCTTAAATTTTCCCAAAATAAGTTCAGAAGTTTCAGTTATTATTTACGTCATCTTTCATTTGCAAATCAAATCAAATTTTAATTTTGATCAACAACCTACAGATCTAATATCTTTGAGTCCATATGAACAACTGAAACAATGTTTAGTCTAAAAAGAAATGGGAAATGAGAAAATGGGTCGGTTTACCTAAAAATGGCATTCAAATTCATTGTCATTTAGTGAGTTAACGACGGATATGATGATGTTCTTCATTTTTTACGCTTACCTATATATCTGTACAATGTATCGGTATTTCTCAAAGATTGACAAGATTGCATCAATATTCGTAATAACTTGAGAAGATTGACAACATTGCATCAATGTTCGTAATAACTTGATTCGCTTTACACACTTGTGATCAGTTTACTCTTGCCAGACTTCGATTCCAGTGGAAATTAGTCATCACCAGAAATTGAATTAGTAGCAACATGTTTTAATTGTAATCCAAAAAAAAAGAATAAATACCTCAAGCATTCATTTTATTTTACTTTTTTCAGTTCTGAGTTTGTTAAGGAAAAACATTAAATGCATCTTTTATCGCGAGTAATGTTTTAACCAAAAACTCACTTCTAAGTGGTATTGTGAGCACATACTGGTTAAGTCCAATCAACAATCTCTGTCGCATGTGACCAGTTTAATCCGATTTCCAACAGTTAACAATTCAAATAAAAAATTATATGTTGGCAAACAATTCAATTGACTGACAACAATAACAACATTTACGAATCGCTGCCAGACAAATGCAAATGAACTGATAACGACGGGTGGACGGCAGGAGACTTGAAGAAATCAAATAAAAACAACAGCAACAACAAGTACCAAGGCAGGTATTGTATTGTAGCTTGGAATTGCTGCTAATGTGAAACACTAACTACAGCGTCATTAATAGACGCTACTCGTACGATTTGCACTTCATATTAAATTAAATGCAATGTGGAATGTTGACCAAATCAATTCGCTGCCCATCACGAAACTTCAATTCACGCAAAATTGTGATAAGATGAAGGGGACAGGTGGGCGGCAACGTGATTTACAATTGTGCCACTTATTTGTTTACTTTGTAGATGCGATAAAATGTATTCATCAAATATTTACATTAACATTCACATTCACGAGCAGTGCCCCCACCATAGGCTCGATTGAAAAATAGATAGAAGTGGCTACAAATTTTGCTCGGCAGGTGCGATTACCGGCACGTAGAGGGCCACCGAGCCGAGCTGATACCAAATTCATTTCAAGTGTTTTGTTCAAAGTACAACAACAGCAACAACAATAACAACAACAACACAAAGCCAAGCACGTGATGTCCGGAGAATCGACCTTGCATATTATAAATTGCCGCTTAACTCGTTTACGATTTAGAAGTGGAAGATAGAAATGGAATTTGGTTTCAGTTCTTCTTAAAATAAAAGGCATAAAAACAGATAAGCCCGCCATATACCGAGATCTGCTTAAGTATTATTACGTAATAAAAAAAAAGGACTATTTTGATGATACATTTATAACAAATATATGCACGTTTTAAAGTAGAATGTAAATATTGTGAAACATATCTAGCATTAATGAAAAATCCCATTATTTGCCATTATTTATTTTCGAATTTTTGTAAACAATCAAAAACCAAAACTGTCAGAAGAAGGGGAGAGTTGGCAGGTGCCGGAAGTTTTATATAGAGGGTTGATGATATAAGACATTTAAACTATTCTAAACACATTTAATATTTAATTTCTATTTCGACCTAAATACTTCTAGTAAGATTACCACATCTTTGAAAAATTATATGGATCATATTATTTTAACATATTACGCTGGATTTCGTTTCAAATAGTTCACACCAGAACCGTAATATATAAATGTTATGTTACTTCAATTGAAATCAATTCTACTACATCATAAACCTTGGATTCACTTCTTCTATTGAATTATTACATTTTAAATGACACATTAAAAATGCTCTATTTTAAATCATTTAAGTTCTTAGCATGAGAATCGCAGAGGAGAGCGTCTAACAATACTTTCACTTTAGTTTTTCTGACAAAAACATTTAACAAGTTTAAGGATTCAATGATTTGTTTACTTACCCGACATGAAATGCAATAGTATCGATGTAATTGGGTACAATACTGGACTGTAGGTTATATCGGGGCAGTCATAGCCCAAGACATTCACAATGCGATCGGCCACCGCACGACCCGTGCTGGTCAAGTGGTAGGGCAAACAGTGTGTGGCATCAACGAAGGCCGGCAACATGATGGGCTTCTCGGACAACTCTGTGGTGCCGAAGACCTGGTAGGCAATTAAGATCCATAATATTATAGCACTGACTGTTCGGATAGGAGCCAAAATGTACATACCTGATGGACCATCTCCCAGTAGAAACCATCCAGCGTGTTCTGCTTGGTCAGATGCTGTCCACATAGCAGTGGCCATAATTGTGACCGTATTGGCGAGTTGATCGGCCACGAATTCTCTCTGAGTATGTTCTTCACCTCGCGTTTCTTGCCCTGCTGCAGTTGTTGTTGTATTTCGGTGAATGAGCGTAAGGCGGGCTCTTTGCCTAGAATAGAAATAAGAAATTAGAATAGTGAGAACAAGTCATACCCAAGTCAAAGTTACTTAGGCTAGGTCGCTAAAAAATAGACCTAGCGTGCTGGCCGTCCAACGCTTACTTTTTATGCATCGTAAATCATGCAAGCGTCGACTATATTTTCACTTAAGTATTTATACTAGACATACATACATATTTATACTTATACAGCGTAGAATTGTTTGCTCAACACGCAAGCTCAAGTGCCAACGCCCTGATAAGATGTTTGGCCAAGTTATCAGTCAGGCTTCTTGGCTATAACCTCCCCATCCCTCTCCTCCCATGGCACATCATCATATGACAAACTATTTGGACGACTCTTTATAGCAATTATCGTTACAAATACCAACAAGTGGTTCTTGAGGCTTGCCAGTTGCCTCAACTCAAGTATTTGGGCAATAATAGGGTGTCCAGTTTTAATGCCAATTTAATAAAACAAGTTCTCATGTGCTTTAAAAATATTTAGAAACATAATCAGATACGTTTTATGCCTAACGTTGTGCTTTCTATAAACACAAGACGCACTTATTTGTAATCAGACATTTGGAAAAGAGTAATTAATTTTTTGTATTGATGGCACAAATATGAAAGTGGGGCAATTATATGTGTGTATAAATAGTGCGTCTAATCTTTAGTAGTTTTGGCTGTTTATTCAGCTAATCGATCATCAAGTGATTGCTTTTGGTAGTTTTCTATCGCACACAAACTTTCTCAATGTTGCTACGAACAGCCTTCAGTTGTAAAAGTTTTATGAGTTTGGGACACTATTTTAGCACTATTTTAATTAAATATGGTTGCAAATATTCTATATCAATTTCCATGTAAGGAATGCTATTCCTTCATAAGCCTTTTCGCAGCTTGTCCCAGTTCCCAAGATTCCTATTCCTTTATATCAAAACACAAATCTCAACATATGTATGTATATTCAAGTTTGAATTGTAAGTGATTTGATTCAACACGTGAGTAGACCCTTTAGGCTTAATTGAAAAATTCGTTATAAACTCATTTCAGGCCATTATAGATATTGAAGAACCTCGTGTGCTATTGATAAGTTGACGTCAAACCCCAAGACCCCAATGATTAGGAATATATTGTATATGGGTGAACATGTCGATTATCTAATTTCCAGCATTATAATTGATTGCTGTGCGAACGAACGTGAAAATGTCTCATTATAACTTAAATGACAGCTGATCGATTTTTGCATGGCTGCTTATCATCAAAAGTTTGTGACTTTCAGAAACGTTGTTATTGCACTCAAAAGTAAATAAATAAAGCAACTGATAAGGCCTGGCCTTTTTTTTCGTTCTTTTCTACAGCTACCTGACAAAGTTGTAGCGCTTTGTTTTTTTTTTTTTTGTGCTTTTTTGTTGTTGTCCTATATATGAGTAGAATGCCATTAAAATCTCTTTAGTAAGCTGTTTGTGTTCAATTAAATTTTACAAAAGCTTTACACCTATTTTGCGATATCAAATGACTGCACCAAATGCCATAAAAATTAACAACAATAAAGCGATAAAAATGTAGACAATAATAACAATAAAAAAAAAACTGAAATTGTATAATTGAGCGCTCAGTTTGCATTTTGCGCGTTTGTGTGAGTAATTAATCCGCCAATTTGCATTAAAGAACAAGATAGAACGCTACAGTCGAGCAAGCCCGACAGTAAAATAGCCTGTACTCTCCACAAAAAAAGAAAAATTAAAAAAAAAAAAATTTAAAAAAAAATTAAATTATTAAAAAAAATTAATGAATTAATTAATTTAATTAAATTAGAATATATGTTTATGTTTAGTTTTAACAGCATACATTTACATCACGTACCTATGCGTGTTTATATGCGTGTATGTATGCAGCACAAAGTTAAACCAAAGCAGCAACAACAACAACAGCTGCGGGCAGCGCTGCCGACAGAGGCAGCGCATGAGCAGCGATTTTACTTATGGCTATAACTTTCTTCAGAATTGACCTATCATGATGAAATTTGGCACACGGACACATTAGTACTAACTGGATGTACCTACCAAAATTGATTTCAAAATTCCGAGAATTACGGAAGTTATAAGAAAAAACACGAATTGCGGGGAAGTGGGGGGGTGCATCGAAAAAAAACTCAAACTCGTACTTTCTCGGTCTTAGGAGAATATGGAAACCAAGTTTGGTTATTCTAGCTCTTATACTTTCTGAGATCCTTGCGTTCATACGGACAGACGGACAGACAGACGGACAGACGGACAGACGGACGGACGGACAAGGCTATATCGACTCGGCTTCTCATCCTGATCAAGAATATATATACTTTGTGGGGTCTGCCACGCCTCCTTCTGTGTGTTACATACATGCGCACAAAACTAGTATAGCCTTTCACCCTTTGGGTACAGGCTATAAAAATGTAAATATTGAGGCGAGAGGAACAGCAACAACATTGCGCAAGTTATAAGCGAATGGGCTACGTCTTTTCTAATTTGTATGTATGCGGTAATTTTCCTATATCGTATGTACTGGTATAATCAATTGTTGTGTAGAGAGTGCTGCTCAATGAATTGGAACGGGGATAAGAGCCACAAATGCATTTAAACAATTTGACAGCGCCGATATTGAAGACGCAATGACGCAAGCGAAGTTGATAATTTATGATTGATGTTACGATAATAAATATGAATAATATGAATAAATTAATTAACACATTTGAGTAAGTTCATACTGACTTGTGTGGACTTAAACAGATGTGAGTTTTATGGAGCACATCGTCATTTCCAATTCGCGTTTTCTAGTAACTCTAACTATTTTCTTTCTACCAACAATTTGTGATCAATTGTTACATTAGAAGACCAACCAAATTGAACTTATTTCGACGGCTTCTAATATATGAGTTTTATGGAGCACATTTTCATTTCAAGTGGCCCACAATTAACAACATGTTGTATCAAAAGTTTCACTCTGTTTCTTTGATTTGAAATTCATTCTGCTTGATCGCAATTTAACTCGTACGCTTTTTGTTGAAAGTGTTTCCAAAATTTTTGTTGTAACTAGAAACGCTATTAGTTAGTCTGCTGAATGGTTTTCCAAAAATGTAGACAAGAATTGGCAGATGCTTGGGCTAAATAAATTGTGTCTGAATCAATATTGCTTGCGTTGGTCAACAATTAATGGATTGAAAGAGATAAATAAATATGACATAGGGGGTGGGAGATACAAGTATACCAACTTGTATCTCCCACCCCCTATACCTCCCTATAAAGATACCATAGTTTCGTTTGTTGTTATCTTGAGTGGCAATGTCCTGAGCTACTCGTACAACAACTGCACTTAAAACACCATGTCAAGTTAATCAGATTTTTTTTCCATTTAGGGGGTATTCTTAACTCTTATCTGCTTAATTTATTTTTGAAATACGAGTATAAGGAATGGGAAGAACTCTGAATAGCGTAAGTACAAGAAATATCTTGCTTTCTGCCTTAAAACCGACTTATTAACACTATTGGCTTCCATTGGTGTGTGTCTTCGCTAAATTAGCGTCTCACAACACTTGAACAGCAACATGTAAATGGTTTTTTATTACATTTTGAACTTTTCACTTTTGTTTTGTGTGTCGCACTAAATGTCGTTTTATGTTTAGTTTCTTGAATGCTTCTCTTTCTTTCTTTCCCCCTCTCTGTATCTGTGTTGTTTTTTTTTTAGGTACCTAATCAAGTTTTATTACCTGGGCTGAACTGCCAGCACTGGCACTTTGTGGTTATGTCATTCGAGCTGGCCGCAATGAAGAGCGGCAGCTCAAAGAACTTTTCGCATTCGGGATCAACGTAGATGCTGCTGCGTCGACTGCTAAACTGCTCCAAGTCGCGAATGCCCAAAACTTTGCCAACCATATTGTTGTTGACGTGATCGTTGTTGTTGTTGCTGCACTTTTTGTTTAAATTAATTTTTTGGTATTTTGTTGATTATCACAGCCAAAACGTAGCAACAAATACAAAATGTATTTAAATGTAAATTTTTGCCTTTTTGTTTCTTTTTTTATTTATCAGTATTTTGAGGTCTGCTTTCTCACTTGATTTTTAATGTTATTGTTTTAATTTATTGCGCTCTGCAGTTTCGTTGCTTATTTTTTTGTTCGTTTCTGTTTCAGCTCTGCTGTTCGTTGACAGCAAGAGCAACGACAACAACAGCAACAGCAACCAACACTTGAAATTTATTTGCAACACATTTAAATTTTAATTTACATTTTTTATTTAGCTTTCTGCTGTTGGAATTTTGTAAAAAATTAATTTCAATATCTTTACATTTCGTGCCAGCACAGTATTGAATTACTTATGTATATTATTATTCCATAAAAAATTGCGTATTGTACTTCGCGCTGATCGCTTTCGATTTAATATTCTGTTTGCCGTTTTCAAATTCGAATGCCGTAGGCCTACGTGCGACGCGTTCGAATGCGTCCGATGTTCTCAGCGAGCTCCGCAGTTGGCACAAGCCGGCTTGTCTCGCTGTCTCGTGAATGAAACCGAAAGCTCTAAAAATCAAAATGGGGTGGCAGTGGCGGCAGGCCAGTCAATCAACCGACCAGGCCAACCAGCCAGCCCGTCAAACGGCCAGTGAGAGAGCGGACCGCGTCGGAGCGCTCGACTCGCTCAAAAGTGGGCGGCATAGAGCAAATTGATCGCAACCTGGCGCGTGCAAGCTCGGAGCTTTTTTTTTTTTGTATATACTCTTTGCCTTTGAAAGGTAATTGATCTTATTGGGTTTGTGAAAATGTACGTGACAGGCGGAAGAAAGAAGCATCTCCATGATTAGCACGACAAGGCTAGTCGATCTAGAAATGTCCCCCCATCCGTCTCTCTTCTTGCCCGCCTCGATTTCCCGAATATCTGTACCTATACTTTTAATCAAACTTGGTATGTAGGCTTTTATTTTTTCAATTTTCCCTTGCCATTTCAAAGTTACACAATCAAAATTTACAACCAAATTTAAAT